CCAGCCGGCATTTGGTACAAGTGTGCCCAGCTTTAGGGAGAGAGGATACCGACTTCTGATAGCCCGAAAAGGTGCCATCTAAGTTGAGATTCTCAATGTTTTTACCCAAGATTCACACATTGTTTCCATAGGATTCAATTACAAAAGTGTGAGTCTTGGGTGACCCCCTAGTGCTTGCTCTCTATCTTCTCTCTCTCTTGTCTATACCGTATTTACTTCATGAACCACTATTCCCTAGTACACATTTCCTGTCACCTTTTCCTACATGTTTCACCAAATACATGGCGTCATCAGGGTACATAATACCCTGTGTGATTACTGTGATTACTGAGTACTACCAATACAAGATACCACATACTGTACTTTATTGCACATGCACAATGACATTATTCTATCAGTTGTTTGATCATTTTGCCTATAGGGGCATGAGCATATACAACTTGTTCAGAACTACAGTTGTTAAAAAAAAAAAAAAAAAAAAAAAATGATCTCAACTATGTTGTATTTCTGAATAAATAAAATAAAAGTTTTACTGTAGGTATAGAAGGGCAGGCCTACGAAAAGTCCCTTTGGGGCACTGGGGTATCCAGTTTGGAAAAGTTTTGTCTTTTCCAAATGGCTATTTATTACTATTTCCTCAACGTTTTGGCCTCTTCTGTACGTGCTATTTTGGATTACTGTACAGTTAAATCCAACTTGATAACTCTGTCTTTCAATGTTAATGGACAAAAAAATATGTACAAGATGATAGGATTCAGACAAGTAAGTTCTCAATACTCTTCTTATCACAATTTTTTGCTACTTAAAGCAGAATGTCACCAAAAGGGGAAGTTATGTTATTCCGCCTCTAACACTTTTGAGAGGGGGAACCTGGTTTTGACAGGTACAAACTCCCACTGTCACCCGGATCGCCAAGACCATATAAGCTGAATTTCACCCCCCCCCCCCCCCCGCCCCCTTATCCGCAGCCTTCTGGGACACATCATAGGTCCCAGAAGACTGCGGAACCTGTGTGAAAGAGCAATGCGGCTCATGCATGCGCAGTGAGAATCTGGCTGTGAAGCCACAAAGCTTCACAACTGGTTTCTCTTAGTTAAGCTGCTGACATCAGGGACCCAAAGAGCGGGTGAAGAACAAGCTCAAGTGAGGACACGCTTGATCCTTGGACAGGTAAGTGTCTATATATTAAAAGTCTGCAGCTACAGTATTTGTAGCTGCTGACTTTTAGTTTTTAGGTGGGGAGACTGAAGCTTCTATTTAACAAGTGCTTGTCATTGTGCTTGTCTATAGGCCATCTCCAGGCCCCTTTTTGGATCCTAATCTCTGATTTATAATCAGATTTCTTGCTTAAAATGTTTTTACTGAGAAGTTTCATTTGTAATATACATACAAACCTTTAGTAATGACATTCAGTACCATTACTCATTTCCCAAATTCGGTTCTCTGTCCTTCCCACAAGATGAACGTAACATTAATGGGCTAAGCCTATAATATTACACTATATATGATGTATACTGTATTAGGTCATTGTTTTCTGTTAATAATATGGCATTTTCCAACCAGCAACAGAATACAGTTATATACAGATTCATACACAAGCTATCCTCATAACTGCCCCCTTTAATTACCTATATCTGATGCCAATTAAAGTAAATTAATTAAGTATTTATATAATGAACTGAGTATGGAAAAATTACTGACAGACAGTCACTTTGTGATTCTGCAACTGGTGATTTCAACCAATTGTTCGTGGCAGGATCAGTGGCGGAAGAGGCACTGGGAGCTGGAGTGTGGAATGGAGAAATGTTCAGCTGCACAGAGGAAAACCTTAGCTAGGTGCATTGATTACTCATGCTGTCACTGATCAAGGGAGCCAACAGTAAGCCAACAGACCAATGGTAGACATGAGGAATCATGCTGAGTGAGCAAGCTGACACAGTCAGTGTTCTGAAAACTGTAGTGCTTCAGAGGAAAGAGATAACCAATGCCATTAGGATTGAGGTGTTTGGCGGTAGCAAAGTAAGACCCCCATGGGCTGTGGCTTCTGTCAGATTTTGGCCCATCCTGGTACTGTCCAAGCTTGCAGACATATCTCTAGGTACGTGCTATATATACACAGTACCAGTCAATAGATTGATATGGCTAGTCTAAACCAATATTTTACACTGATCAGCCAAAACATTTTAACATATGGTTATGAATCTGATAATTATGTTCCGCCCCTCTTTCAAATATATGAATCACAAAACACTATGACCACCCCACCATAGCTTGTCGAGATATGGGACTCCACTAGACCTCCTTTGAAGGTATGCTGTGCAATCTGGCACCAGCACATCCGACAGATATTCAATTTGACTGAGATACGGAGAATTTGGAGGCCATGTCAACACCTAAACTCGTGTTCCTCAAACAATTCTTGAGTTTATTAGACTAGACTGCCTTCTTCCATTGCTCCATGCTCCAGTTTTGATGCTCATGTGTCCATAGAAAATTGCTGCGCTGCCTCTCCCAAAAACTACTTTAATTAATTAAATAAATGAATGAACTCCCTACTACACAAAGGGTCCCCAAAAATATGCATGTGCTATAATGCCCCGCGGGCTGGCAATTATATCCCTACTCCCCAGTGACTAAATCCCAAATAAACCAATAAGTAAATACAAGGTGCTTAAACGACCATAGTGCTAAAAATAGCACATATACAATGTCATGAAACTGTGTATACAGTGAAATTGTATAAAACTATATACATATATATATATATATATATACTAAAGTTCCAATAACTGTGCAATCATATAAAAGTTCCAAACGAATTGATACATTTCAAACAAAACCCAAAGAAACCCCCATCTGCATCCGGTGTGAATATTAAGTGATACAGTAGTAAATCTTCTTATCCATAGCTATTCTCTTTGTGTAGTATTCCAATTAGTGCTCCCCCTCCAGAGCCCCACTCAACACAAATATTTGACCACTTGGAATGGTAGGTCAAATATCGCATGAGATGTTTGCAGCGCTCTCCTGCAGGAAAGTTGGCCGTCTGTGTGGTCTTGACACCTCTATACTCTGATGATAGACTCCATAGTGAAAACACCTCTTGATCAATTGTTTGCGACAAAACTCCTCCAGAACCTCCACAGTACTCCTCCACCACCGTAAAAACATCAAAAGGAAACTTCCATAGCTTAACACCGTATTTATTAGGTAAAAAACTATTAAAATTGCACTTACATAAAGACCATGTGTATGGCACTTTAAATCCCAGCAAAAAGCTACTGATGATGTCATACGACGAAACATGTAGAGCGGGGCTTGATAGAGCTACACTTGTCCTCTGAGAAGGATTTGCTTTTTGCTAGGATTTAAAGTGTTTTTTGTAAGTGTATAAAAACCACGTGCCCTGTCAGGGCTTTGTTCTAAGGTAAGTATTTCATAATGTACTAGTATGTGATGTGTACTAGCAAAATTATGCCATTGTTTTTCATGGGTTTTTCTTGTTTTTTTTTTTAAAGGCAGTGGTTTACTACCGTTTTAATGGCCGAGGTGGACAGGCAGGCAGATATCATCATAATCTCCACCTTGGAGGAAGCCTTGTATACATTACAATAAAAGGCTTCTCCTAAATAGTGGAGATGCAATAATAACCAACTCTCTCTATATCCAAGAATAGATGGCAAGTGCTCCTCCATACCCAAAAATGCCAGGTATCCTGCCCCTGGAGTCTCCATGAGATGTTAAAACCTGGAAAGTTATTTAACCCACTAGCCCCTGCTAAAAAAAACATCGATTTAGGGTCCCTCTATCCAGCGGTGTCCTTACACCAGCTAGGTTCACTGGCCATCCTGTGTCCCTGGCACCGAAATCTTCAGTGTGGGCGCCTGGCTGGCTTTGACAACTTGTGCACATGTGCAAGTAGCGCTGCACTTTGTGAATGGTCCCGTAGTCTTCTGGGACCTGTCACATGTCCTAGAACACTAGGGAGAAAGAGGGGGGGGGGGGGGGACAACTTTCGCTTCAGTGGAAGTGGGAATGGGTACCTGTCAAATTCTGGTACCCCCTCCCCCAAGGTGCCAATCCTTATTGCTGTAAAAGAACAAAAACATAAGCGCACCAACCTTGCGCATTACCTCAGTAAATAAAGGGTGAAGTTATTGAATTGAGATATATACTCACAAAAGTAGAAATAATAAAAGCATATAAAATCCGACATCAGCGCACTGGAATATCAGACACGTGCGGGTTCCAGTGAGGGGAGACTCTCGGGATGAAGAGCATTTATCCTGAGCATGTTTTTATGTTTATTTTATTTGTATTTGCTCTGTGATTTTGTAGCACTGTTGCCCCACCCCCCCATGATGTAAATGTCCTGCCCATATGGGAAAGCTCACACATGGCCTTGTGCTATATATAGAGGAAGCTATTCTCAGTTTGACTAGCTCTGAGGAAGAAGGGATCCCCCTTCGAAATGCGTCAGCTTCATCCCGAGAGTCAACTCTCGATGGGACCCGTACGTGTCTGCTATTCCAGTGCACTGATGTTGGATTTTATATACTTTTATTATTGCTACTGTTGTGAGTATATATCTCAGTTCAATAAATGTACCCTTTATTTACTGAGGTAATGCGCAGGGTTGGTGCGCTTTTGTTTTTGTTCTTCGTTACATCTGTTATTGGGCTTCTCCAGCCTTGCGTCAGAGTTGCGCAACATTTGATCGGCTATTGAACTTTCCTATATGGTTCAACCCGCTGAATTTTGATCTGGGTCTCTGAGCGCAGGAGATTTTGTTTCTGTTTCTGCCAATCCTTATTAGGGAGTGGTGTATAAGGCCTTAAAGCAGAATTTCCCCTTTTGGGTGGATCTCCGCTTTAAGCTTACAATACTTCAATATGTTTATCTCCTATATAAGTTTTCTATAAATTGTTTTGTTTTTGTTTTTTTAGCTATGTGCTGGTCAAGAGAATGATACCGCTATACCTGAGGATGATGGTCAGGAGAATGATACTGTTACACCTGAGGATGAAGATAGTAACTTTACACCAGATTACAACAGCTATTTACAAACTTGTGAGAAAGCAGATGTCCGTGGGTTCCGGTCTATCTTCTTGCCAATAATGTATGGATGTATTTTTGTGATAGGGCTGGCAGGGAATGGCTTAGTGATGCTGAGGTATGTCTGCTTTAACAGACTGAAAACTGGAACAGATTATTACATGCTGAACTTGGCTCTAGCGGACATGGTCTTCCTCTTCACCTTGCCTTTCTGGGCAGCTAGCACTGTCCAGACCTGGATTTTCGGCAACGACATGTGCAAAGTCATATTTTGTCTCTACAAAATGAGCTTCTTTAGTGGGATGTTCATACTTATGTCCGTGAGCATTGAAAGATACTTTGTTATTGTCCTGGCCACCTCTGCCCACCGACACCGGTCCAGGACAGTGTTGATCAGTAAACTCTCCAGTGCTCTCATTTGGGTCGTTGCTTTCTTCCTGTCTATCCCTGAGTTGATCTACAGTGGTGTCAACACCATTAATGGTGAGAAAACTTGTGACATTATCTCTGCTGAATTACAAAGCCTGAATGCTGGACTCAAGATCTCCCAGATGGTTATTGGATTTCTTATGCCGTTGATCATCATGGTCTTCTGTTACAGCATGATTATCATGACACTGCTCCATGTGCGTAATTTTGAGAAGTACAAAGCCATCAAGGTCATCATTGCCATTGTTATTGTGTTTTTGGTCTTCCAACTTCCTTACAATAGTGTCAGCTTGATTAAGACCTTTGATAACAGCACTGATTGCAAAATCAGCAAGACCATTGATATCGCCGATTATGTTACCTACACCCTTGCCTGTTTCCGATGTTGCCTGAACCCATTTCTCTATGTCATCATTGGGGTCAAATTCAGAAATGACCTGTGCAAGTTCTTTCAAGACTTTGGTTGCCTGAGCCAGGAAAAATTTGCAGAATGGTCAACAGCCAAGCCAAGCAAGAGAGGCTCCTTTGCAATGGACACTGACACAACAACCACATTTTCTCCCTAAATCTTCAGTTAATGGACACAAAAGTGCTTTCTAAAGGATCAGTCAACCCATAACCAATATTTTCATTTTTGATTTAAACCGTCTGACAAAATATGTCTATAAATATCTAAAATATACTTTTGATTACACTTACAAGATGAACACGGTCTAAAAGGGCACAATGTCAAAACCAGAATCACAACCACCATGCTTAAAAATGAAAATGTCTATTGTATTGCATTGACCTGTCCATAAAAATACTTAGTACAGTGACCACATTTACTATTTATCAGTGAATCTTTTATATTACAACACAGGAGTCCACAGGCATCGCACTTCACCATATATATTTTGGAAATTCTTCCTAGAAGATCACATGATAATCTGACCCAAGAATATAATTGTGTGCTTGATATAGAAAAGTATTTATTAATTTTAAATAGTCTCTCACATTAGCTATCCAAAGTCAGACAAAATGGTCACTTGGCATATTGACTGGCCATATAATGGAGGATTCCTCCACTCTGTCAATTGTACCTTGTGAGAAAATAGGATTGTACTGTGAATCTCAAACATAAAATTAGCAAAAAAAAAACGCTCTGGGATTGAAAAAAGTGGGTTTACCCTAGACAAAGACTGTCCTCTAATGGGGTCAGATAGTTTCAAATAGTTACACTTCAAAGGAGTGTGTATAAATCCGGCTGTAAAAGGATCAAATCTCTGCCGATTCAGAGCCCTCTAAAGGTGGCTAGTGATCAGCTCTGGTCTCATATGTGTCTGATCACTTTCTGGTAGTTTAGTGTCATAACCTCGCTAACACTCTGTTACATCACAGTCACGTGACGTCCTCAGGTGTCTCGGGTTAGGCGATCCTAGCCACCTTGTTTGATATCATGTTGTCATAGTAATGTACTTCCCTCTCATTAAGCTAATGCTTAAAACAGAACTATACTCACCTCCGATCCCATGATGCGCTGTCCTGCGGCTCCCCGTCTGGCCACTGACATCCTTCAGGCGCCCCGACTTCCAATTTCTGAATGCTGGGCACGGTCATTGGGCAGGTGGGGGTGACGTCACTCCCAGGGGCGGACTGACAACTCATGGGGCCCCCGGGCAATAGGGGATCATGAAGCCCCTGTGCCCTTGCCTAAACTGAAAAAGCCTATGAAAAAGGTACCAGGGGCATCTCATGGAGCCCCCTACTGACCCCGGGCCCTCGGGCAGTGCCTGATTTTTCAAACGGTCAGTCCGCCCTTGGTCACTCCCGTGCATGCACAGGAGTTATGTCAAATTTGACATTACCGAATTTGTACAGTGAGCTGCTCGCCTGCACAGCTCCCTGTACAGGGGGGGAACAGGCAGGTATGTAGCTTTAATGCAGGAGAGACAAAGCATGTCTCTTCTGCATTAAAATCCTGCCTGTCTGCGCATTTTTATTTTTTTACCTAAAATTCCATTTTAAGGAGTAGTGATTCTCAAATGTCCCTTGATGAGTACCAATGTACAGCCAATACATTGGAAATAGAAAGAGTATTGTCCACAATCAATATTAGTATACAAGATGTAATTCCCAGCTGCTGCTTTGCACATGCTTATATCCAACAAATAATGGATGTGGATATGGGTGGAAAAGCTCAGACTCCAATCAATAGATAATTTAGTTCTCAAATACTGTTGTACACCACATAGATTTATATCAGCATATGAAAATGAGCACTTTCTAGAACATATGTAGTGATAGGTGATGAAATCTCCCCATATGATGTCATTCATTGTCCCAATAACATCAAACACCCAGACCCACACCCACATGATTTCATCCATAGTCCCAATATCATCAAATACACAGGCCTCATATCATCATTCTCAATAAAAGTGCAGTCCAGGTGCCAGTATCCAAATATCTCATAAGCAGAATGAAGTAAATGCATGAAGGCAGTCAACCATCTAAATGAGCTATAAACAGGAGACAAAACTGGACAGTGGTCCACACGGCTCTGGGACCAGGCCTTTATGCGTTTCACTATAATGGCATCATCAGAGGGGCATTAATCTTGTTAATAAAAAGTATATTTTAGATAGTTATATTAAGGTGGTGACCGGGTAACCTATTTTTAATGTATTCCATTTGCAAGTTTATTTGTGAAGGCATCCATCCCACCTTTACAGTATTTGTTTAAAAATATATTTCCTGGATGGTGTCAGTATTCTTTAATTCTGTATAATCCTCTGACTTTACTGGTGAGATATCTTCTTTGCCTTCCTGGCTCTACACACCTGCTGTCGCTATTTCGGAGGATTCCCACTGTTCTTGCTGGAATTATATTTATTTTCTATTATAAAAAAAATATCACAGGACTAGCTTCAACACTCAAAGCATGTGCTAGAACATAGACAGGAACAGACACGGGAATTATGCCAGGGAGGTCCACTTTTGAAGGTCTCAAGAAGACATACAAGAAGCCAAGGGCAACTCAAGTCACCAGATTCCAGCTACAACAGAAATATCAATTTGGGTGGGCTGACCCTTTAATTGAATGTGTAAATATTTCTGACAGTGATATTAATGGACTCCATATAACTTGATCAGAACAACCACTGACTTTGAGAAGACAAATAAACAGTTTGCCACCACTTCATGGCATTTCAGGTGAAAACCCAACTTTAAAAGAAACCTGAACTGACGCAAATTAGGCAACTCGAGTAATCTGTGAATCATAGTTTACTATTCAGAAATGGCTTTCTTCTGTCTGACTCATATGACATTTGATATTATTGCTGATCTTTATCATATCGGCTTTAATTGACTGTGTAACTCGCTGCCAAAACAAAAAAAAAAAAACATTTTTGCAGAAGCTGAATTCCCCTGGAAACCTCTACAGATAGTCGTGATATTACTGATGTGGAACTGAAAGGAGATTGGTTTAACTGTCAGTGATAGGAATTATATTGTACAGAATGTGTAATAAATTCACTCCTATTTCTTTCTTGTTCATGTTTTTAATATAAATAAGCTAATTTAAAGGGAATGTGGACAGATCTTCACATGCATTTTCTTTATTTACTTGTTATGTGTAGTATTAAAAAAAATGAAAAATGTGTCTTATTTCTTTTCAATCAACTAAATATGAAATATCACTCAAAGCTGACCTAACATTAGATATATTTTTTGTTCATGCCAAGTGCATACACACCAAGGGGTCTAATTTTAACCACCTGCTTCCCAAGCCTATTCTGACACGTCTCTCCTACATATTATTATTATACAGGATTTATATAGCGCCAACAGTAACAATACAGTTCAATACAAGTGGGATAGGAGGTCCCTGCTCCTTGGAGCTTACAATCTAGGATATAAAAATTATCAATTTTTTTGCAAGAAAATGACTTAGAACCCCAAAACATTATATATGTTTTAAGCAGAGGCCCTAGAGAATAAAACAGTGAGTGTTGCAATTTTTTGGAAAAAATACACTTTAATAAATTTTAGTGCACAAAAACAATATAACAACCATTTTTTAGTAAAATATAAAAGCTGATGTTACGCCGAGCAAATAGGAACCTAACATGTCATACTTTAAAATTGCGTACGCCTGTGGAATGGCACCAAACTACGGTACCTTAAAATCTCTAAAGGGGACACTCTAAATGCCTTTACAGGTTACCAATGTAGAGTTACACAGGTTGTCTGGGGCTAGAATTATTGTTCTTGCTCTGACATTCAACATTATATATCTTACATGTGTGGTACGATTGCTGTTCACATATGCATGCGGAACTGACGCATGCATTCACCTTTGTGCGCAAGCATGGGAGGATGGGGGTGCTTTAATTTTGTTTAAATTATGTATTCGATTTGATTTTTTTTTTTTTTTATTTTTACATTGTCTTTTTAAATTTTTTTTTAATCACTTTTATTGCTGTCACAAGGAAAGTAAACATCCCTTTTGACAACAATCAGCAGACACAGGTCCTCCTTACTGAGACATCTGGGGTCTATCTGACCCCAGATGTTCCCTCTGCCCTTAACAGTATTAGATCAAGCCAAGATCTGTCTGATCTGATGATTGTTTACAAGCTATTATGAGTGTGTACAAACGACTGGAACTGGAAGTGACAAAATCTTGGCTGCTTCCAGTTCCTAATACCAAAGAGGTGACCGGAGATGATCTGGTCTCCGAAACACTCTATGGCAAGCTTCAGTTCCAGGCTCCCCAGGAGCCAGTAGAAAGGGTAGCTAATTAGCCGCTAGGATGACTTTTACATACAAAGAAATCAGATTGGATTGGAGTAGAGAGAATAAATTGAGAAGGGGAGGAAGGTTTATAGATTACATATAAAGCTAAAGGCCCCTCACACTATTGTGTTGTGGTATTGTACACATTACTGCATGTTATGTGTGTTGGTATGCCATGGTGCCATTTATTCTGAATGGTACCCCAATGCCCCTTCCCAACGCACCTGCATCATAGCTCACTGCAATGCACTGTAGTGACTAATAAATACAACAGTGCAGCGCTGACAAAATTAAATGATGAATAAATAAATATGGAAATATGGAAATAGTGATCAAAATAAAACAACTTAATACATAATACTCAATCCCCTTGATGCCCACATCAGGGAAATCTACATATAAATAAATAAGTGTATATTATAAATAATTGTGTAATACGTGAATCCCCTATCACTGGGGGAGGAACTTCCGGGAACGTGGTGAAGTCATTTCCGGAGTGGGGGCCATATTGGATCACCTTTTGCAGATACCCATGCAGTACACCCATAGTATGTGGTAGATGAGCTGGAAACAAGACAATTGTTATGTGAGTGGGCATTTTTTATTTGGATTATTCATTTAATAAACAGGTTACACTATGGAGGGTCTCTGCTTGTATTTTACTATGATCCTGGGAGGAGCTGGCTGCTAGTGGTTGAAGGCTGGAGACGCTTGCCATCATTGAGGGGAACCCTGGGAGGAGTCTGTCCTTGTAGGATCGGTTGATCCCTAAAGCGAGCTGGCC